TACACCAAAATTTTTCGGGAAAATACTTTTTCTTATTAATTTTGGTGCGTAAAATCCAAAACAATTCGTACTTTTACGATTCGACTTCTCAATCAAGGGTTATAGACTAGAAACCAATTTCGACAGAAAATTCAAAGGGCTGTAACTTTTGAACTAGTAGCCCAATCTTGGAAGAACTGTTTGAAATTATGGATTCCACAGGCCACATTCAATAAGAAATTTTTTTTTCGGGTCGATCTGAGACAATTTTTTTTTCGGGCCTCAAAAAAAGGCAGTGTATAACCTTGCATTTTACCAAAAATCGACTACACCAAAATTTTTCGAGAAAATACTTTTTCTTATTAATTTTGGTGCGTAAAATCCAAAACAATTCGTACTTTTACGATTAGACTTCTCAATCAAGGGTTATAGACTAGAAACCAATTTCGACAGAAAATTCAAAGGGCTGTAACTTTTGAACTAGTAGCCCAATCTTGGAAGAACTGTTTGAAATTATGGATTCCACAGGCCACATTCTATAAGAACATTTTTTTCCGGGTCGATCTGAGACAATTTTTTTTTTCGGGCCTCAAAAAAAAGCAGTGTATAACCTTCCTTTTTTACCAAAAATCGACTACACCAAAATTTCTCGGGAAAAGACTTTTTCTTATTTATTTTGGTGCGTAGAATCCAAACAATTCGTACTTTTTCGATTAGACTTCTTAATCAAAAGTTGTAGACTAGAAACCAATTTCGACAGAAAATTCAAAGGGCTGTAACTTTTGAACTAGTAGCCCAATCTTGGAAGAACTGTTTGAAATTATGGATTCCACAGGCCACATTCTATAAGAACATTTTTTTCCGGGTCGATCTGAGACAATTTTTTTTTTCGGGCCTCAAAAAAAAGCAGTGTATAACCTTCCTTTTTTACCAAAAATCGACTACACCAAAATTTCTCGGGAAAAGACTTTTTCTTATTAATTTTGGTGCGTAGAATCCAAAACAATTAATATAGTATAGTGTAGCAAACTCTTCGCTTTACAATGCTAATCTAATGGGTGACGAGAGTTCACCTTTATTCAGCCCTGTGATGTATCAGAAACCCCAGGCCAGGCAGTTGAACGTGCAGATCAAAAAACGTTATTTTGCGTTACTTATTTATTATGGGCAGAATAACGTTTTCTACAGATAACCTGCACGTTAAGTTTAACGTTAGTGTATATATCACAAAGCTGATTATATAGATGTCCAATCCTTCTGTTTTTGTATCCGAGGTGCATCAAACCTAGACGTCGCTTTAGGTTCTGTTGGTCAAGTATCATGATACGCTTCCTAACGTAAAATCCCTAATTTGGTTTGTTATTGGGTTAGGGTACAGACCCGTACGTACCGAATTACGCCAGAGTCTCGTGAATTGAGGAAAAGCAGCAGCGCAAAGAATAATTACAACATTTCGTTTTAAAACTACAATACAACGTTAAACAAAGGCACGGCTGTTTAATCTTAATTCAAATGTTTTAAAAGGAGGTGCACGCAACGTAGAACGTAAATTCTCGATTACACACAACGCTAGCTATCGTGCGCGCAGATCTTTTCTTCAATATCCGCCGAATGATGTGTGCCCGCAAATAATTTGGGAACAATGAAATAGCGGTTCGTGGTAATGCAACATTTCCACAAATCCAGTTCAAACATCGACTACCTTTGCTAATGCAGTGCAAACAAATTTGATACGTATGTCAATAGCTTCAGAATTACAATGCAAATAAGAAAAAGCTTCTATTTAACCATTTCATTTTAATCAAATCCCTCGTGAAATATACATTTCCTCTATTTATTCAACCTTTCCTTTTTAACACGCTCATTTAATAAATAAAGTGCGCAAGAAAAATTGAAATCTTGATCAGGAAGTGAGCATAAAGCCTTAATTTAATCGTAGCCGACTAATGGCGCTTTAGATAATAGACTTTAGGCGATTGCCATCGGGGATTGTCAGTCTTTAAGATTTAAAAAGGGTCTTTTGTGTGATTTATTATCGACATTTTTCAACTGTCTCATTTGCAATTGTGGAAGACCGTGGCGAAAATACAATTGAAGGTTTCCACCACTCTTATCTTGAAGCATAAAAGTTCCCTGTTTACTCGACTAAGAATGTGCCATAAACATTATCAGCCATAGAACCGTGATATGTATGAAATAAACAGAGTTTATTTACTTCCAACAATGTTGTTATGTGGTAATTT